GTCATCGCCTCAATCTCTACTGAAAAATTCACCTAAGAGTTATTAAATTACAGGAGAACCATCGTTGTTACCTTATTTTGGTGAAGAAGGCATGCGCACACTTCACTACCACTTACCACTACTTCGTCACCTTGCCTAATATAACCAATGAACCACTAGTGAGGGTTTACCGAAAACTGCCGATCAATCAGAATCCCAATTTGGAATATTTCGAGCCGACTACTTACTCCGATTACATAACCAATCAGCACCACCCACCTTGGGTCAACAGCTAGGTTTCCATTGGCTCACTCTGTTCTGACTTGAGTCCAGAAGTAACAACCAGCATCTACTATATTTATATCTCAAACAATTGTAGTTCATATACAAGCATATTGAATCACACCATCACATCACATAAAATGAAAACTAACAATTATACATGAACAAGCCAAAAGTGGCTGAGGATAAGGAGATGAAAACAGTGGAAAACAAATTTACGTAGTAATCTAATTACTCAGTAGTTAATTATACAAAAAAATCATAACCAATAGTAATTATAACACAAAGTAAACTAGCAAAAAAATCGATTTATTCATGTGTCATATATATATATTCAGTGTGTACTTTTTACTCTATGGGGTGATAGAAAGAACTTTTATTGACAACGTTAAACGTTTTTATTGAGTATTTATTGTAATGAAAGATGAATTTCGGAATTTCTCTCAAAAACTTGGATTCAGTTTATTTTGTATTTTTTGTTTTAAATTTTTATTGGCTTGTCCCTCCCTAAACTATACCTTCATCGTTTAGGATGACAAACAGGCCGTAATCATAAATATTCTTTACAGTTACAATAAATATGTTATTTAGAATGTACAAATACATTTAACTAACTACAGGGAATTGAAGTCCATGAAAAGTTTGTTTTATACAATCAGCTTGTCACATATAAACAAAGAATTATTTGGTGAAACCTAATTTTCAGAAACTTTAGCTAACGTTAATTAACTTCGAAAATATTGTTTTCAGTAGATATGAACTATTTAATAATGACATACATATATTACTGATTCTATATTGTTAGTTTTTAAGTGTTGATAAAAACCAACAGACCAATTTCAATGACTTAAAAAGTTGTCCAAATGAACATTGACAACTTTCGGATTAGGGCCAATTCTGAAACTAACAGATGACAGTTAATCGATGCATTAAAACTTACTGATATTCACCACCACTAGAAACCAATAACATTACATAATAAAATTCATTCACATTTTTAAATTAGCCTCCTTATGTTTTACTTGACACATGTGCATGCGTATTAAAACAAAAATTTAAAATGTACATTAAATTTAGCTGCTGAAATTTACTGGTGAATAGGCGCCAACATATTTTTTTTTAAATTTTTATTAGGTTCATTAATGAAACTACGAAAAAAAAAGGAGACAATGTCGTTGAAAACAACAGTAGGTTATTATTATTAATAAATTTTAATATGAATTAACAGAAGGAAAAAAAAACAACAGATTTGTATACATTTACAGAGAAATAGGGAGACAGAAATTATACAAAGCAAAAGTAAAGCTGGTTAGATTACAAATAAATGAAAAGAAAGTTTATGAACAAATTAAATTTATAAACTGATTTATTTTTATTGTGAAAGTTTACAATAGATTGGATTCTAGTGATATATTTTGCAACCGCTTTTATTTGCCCTATTAATTAGCAGAAAACCATAACGTTTTAGTTAACTTGAATAGTGGCTAAGAAACGTGTTCCGTCCTGATTAAGACCTATCGGGTTAGATGTACTTACATCCAAGTGTTGATGTTCACTTTGAGATTTGGATTGAAAAATTTTCGCTAAAGCATTATCCACTAAGTCTAGATAAGTTTTAGCTTATACTATGGGCGTGAGATTTACTGGTAAGAAACATAAAGTAATTAACTCGTTGAAATCACCAACCAATCGTTTTTAGACAACCGTTAGAGACCTGGAAGCACTGGACGATCGTTTCGTCATGGTATAGGACTCATCATCAGTGCGCATCCACGGCTCTGCACCTCGCAGTATTCGAACCCGGGACCTTCGGTCTTGCGCACGGACGCCTAATCTCTGGACTACTGGACCGGCATCCGGCGATGTTACTGCCTAACTCTGATCAATCTAGGGATTTTATGCGACCTCACCTGTTTTTCTTCGGTAGTTACTGTCTATACCCGACAGGGTTGAACTCTACTGGCCACGTCTTCTCACTAGAACTCTGAGAATTCCCTCAAAGTTAGACATTAACAGCGTTGGATGCCGATCCAGCGGACAGACATTCGCGTCCAAGACCGAAGGTCCCGCGTTCGAATACTGCGAGGTGCAGAGTCGTGGATGTGCACTGCTGATGAGTCCTATACCATGACGGAACGGTCGTCTAAAAACGATTGGTTGGTGATTTCAACGTGTAAAAACATTTATCTCTATAACTCTAATTGACAAAAAACAGTAAGTAATTTCCTAGTGGTGGTCTTTGTATCTGCGATAGTTTATATCCAATAGAATATGTACACGATGAAAGGAATACCTCGATATCGAGGCTTAGCTACAAACCCTCAGAATAACTTTAAAGCATGTTGAAAATATGTCGACTAGTAACTGGGTGCAGTCAATTAAAGGATAGATATTAATAATTCATTTTAAATAGGATAGATCGATTAAGTTTCAATACATGATGATATGATAAAGGATAGATATTAATAATTCATTTTAAATAGGATAGATCGATTAAGTTTCAATACATGATGATATGAGTTAAGATTTGCCGGAAATTTTTATTGTTCAGGAAAACAAGAAATGTGTGTCTGTTGTTCAGAACACAAGATAGAAATATTTTGCCCTTATCTTGTTGTACTTATCGATACCAACGAACGTGTAGTCACACATAGGCAAGAATAGTGATCTTAAAATATTGATTAATTAGATTATAACAGCAAGTTAGATCATCACATGTTATAAATATTCGTAGCGGAGGTCTAAATGCTTTGTTTATTTCATATCACATTTCGTAGATGAGTCGTAAGGATTAAAATGAATATACCTTTCAAACTAATTAATAAAGCTTAGGGTTTGTATATACGTTTAGATTTGGTGAATTTCTGTCTTATTTCATTGTAAATGTTTGATAAATATATGAGTTGGAAGAAAGATAAATGGAATAAGTCAAACCTAGAATCATTTTACAATGTATTTTCTTTTGTGAGTGGCATTTGTCTCTGGTCGATCTGAGTTGGAATATTATTGGCAACTAGTCAACCGTGGAAAGTTGTTTCATCCTCGTGTGGGACTCCACAGCAGTGCACACATACGGTCTCTCCAAGTACCGAACATGGAACTCATGTAAGGAGCATAACTAATATTCGGAAGCATTGAGTTGATATTCAGCAGTACATACATACAGATTCAGTCTGAACATTCAATGGTCGATCCATAGTGATCTATATTGCGGAACCCTAAGTTAAAGTTAAACAGATGTTCAAAGCTCTGCGATGTTTTTACAGTAACGTCAGATTAATCCTAGACGAATACTACTTATATATCAGATAAGTCCTGCTTAAGTAAATTGTACAGTCCAGATAACTATACACATTTTCTTAGATTATAAAAAATAATAGCGGAGCTTCTAATGACGTATCTACCAACCTGACTACAATGGACACCCTGTCTTGCCTATTGTAATAACTCAACTATTATTAATTGAAACATATTGTTTAAAATCCTTCAATGATAGACAGGTCGGTTTGGATAGCGATATTTTTAAATAGATACTTTCGAAACAATACTCGTCTATACTGTGATCACCGAGTGAAAGAAGTTAGCAAATCACTTGATAAGACTGTGAATCATTATCCTCAAGTACCGCCTACTTTGATTCACGATGTTGGCTGGTGTAAGTTGAAAGAAAGCTAGGGAGCGACAAACCAGAATGTAGGATCACATCATAAAGTTATCGACTGCTGGACTGAGCTGTATTGGTAAGCACATACTGTATATCTCACACTTCTTGGCAGAACATGCTGACGAAGATATTCGTGGAGAAAATAGGCAGACTTCCACTCGAGAACAACCCTACTTTTTTCAAAAAAAATGTCTCCTTCGTCAGTCACAACATACTTACTACCTGCAATTACTGTAACCAATCATTGGGAACGTCAATTTCGGAATTCCGCCCCACCGCATCATAGAGGAGAATTCATTGTTTGCTTTTTATTTTTTTTCGTTTTTTTTTTAAAAAGTAAATATATCTGAACAATACAGAACGTATTTAGATATACAAAAGAGAGAGAGATAGCAAAATGTGTATCGTGATCATCAAAAACGCACATGTCATCATCCATATAATAGAGAGAAGAGGTTAGGGTTATACACATATGATATAAAAAAAAAGTGTTAGCAGGGCGAATTTCAATTGATGATCAACACACACACACACACACACACAGAGACAAAAAGAAACAAAAGGCATAAGAGCAGATTTTTAAAACAAAATTGGCTTATCCACTGTGCAAAAAGAAAAACAACAATATTTACTAAAGTTCTTTTCAACAAGAAGAAACAATAATAATAATAATAATAATAATAATAATAATAATAATAATTAGTAGTAGTAGTAGTAGTAGTAGTAGTATGATAAGTCAGCTTAATCAATAATTCATGAATACATCTCATATTCATAAATCAGCGTCACGATGTAAATAGTAATGATAATTATAATGATGACGATAATAATAATAATAATAATAATAATAGTAATAATAATTAATAATGATAATAATTAATAATTTATAATTATAATTATAATTATAATAATAATTTTCATTTGGTTAGTTGAATTGCTTTGCTTCTTCTATTCGCTGATAGCAATTTTTTATTGTTGTTCATGCAAAACACAAATCATCATCTGATGCATCCCATTGATTTGGTCGGATGAAGAATTCAAAGAAAAAAAAACAATCGTCTACGAAGCATTGAATATTGAAACAATTGAAATATTCCATGAAAAATACACATATAAACACCTGAACGAGAATTGAAAAGGAAGAAAAAATAAAAAATAATAAATAGGAAATAACCAGTTAGCTTTTCAAATACACAAACAAATAATTGATTGATAACAATATTTAAAGATTATGGTGGTAAACTCAACATTTACTTGGATATCAAAACTAGTACGAAACGTATCAGTCAGACAGACAGATACAAGGCAGAACTTCGTAAGTACGTATGTTCATCAGTTCAGGTTGCCATACCGCATTAGCACACAGACGCAATTGTCAGTTCAAATCCCATATTGGTAGAGATAGTAGAAGTATTAGCAGAAATGGAGAAGATTAGGGTTCGAAGAAATTATTCAAGGAGTATAATCCCGTGAGATAAATTTAGAAAGAGAAAGATGGAGGTGATGAGGAATTCAGAAGATTAGAATTTCAGAGTTTCAGATGGTGATCATGAGTAGTGGTGATCAGTCAATCCAATCAGTTGATAGCATGGATAGAAACAGATATAAAGAAATGAAAAAAACAGAGTTTCGACCGAGAACAAGAAGTTCTCGCTTCCTGATTGTCCACCACACAGTCGAATGATACATTTTTTGAGAAGTCATAAAAAAGTAATTTAGCATGGGTGGGAGGAATCCGTGAAGCAGGGTATATTGAGTTGTGCTATTTCTAGAATCAACCTTTTCTAAGACCCTCTCTGTTCGTAATGACTGGGCAGCATCACTCTGGATGCTGGTTGTTTAAAGCAAATACCTTAATGCCATCATATCCTAGCAAAATCAACAGTACGATCAGTCTTTCAAACCGTATGTTGCTACTTTTAGTCTTGCCGCTGTCCAAACGACCTGTCTGTTATGGAAGGATTTAAACGAAGTAACATTCCAGTCAATAATAGTTTGCTGAGTCATTACGATAGGCAAGTTTGCCTATATAATCAGGGTAGCAGTTGTAATCGGGTTGGTACAGGGATTGGCAAGTTTATGCTTCATTCTATGACAAACCAGTCAGTCAATTGGAAGGTAGTAACTGTATATTGTGGTAGCTTTCATAATCATATGAACAAATACTGACCATTTGGACAGTACACGACTAATGAGTCAGTATTCACTGTTGTTATTATTTCTGTACTTGTACAATGTTGTGTGCATGCTTTGTCTGTGCGCAAATCTATTCACGATCTATTTTATATTCGTCTGCTATCATCCACTAGTAAGCTTACCTTTACAATATCTATTCGAACTCGATACAGACTGAGGGATACAATTAATTACTGTGTAACTGTGACTAATTTCATCTGCATACATTAATGCTTGGCTAATTTATCTGCTTGAACGGACTTTTGACTGTGTTGTGTCAACGTAATCAGTAAGCAATAAGGCAAAAAGAGCCGAATTATTTGGGAATATAAACATCTATATATATATATATAGGCATGCAAGAGAGATTCCAGTCATAAACATCAAAACCATAAAAAAATAAACTGTAATAAGAATTCAACTGATCGATCAATAGTTTGTAATTTTTATTTTCTAGAAAGAACAATAACTTTTGAAAAAAATCATTTATCTGCATTCGAATACACACACAAACAAATGAATCAATAAAACACTGTTAACAGTAGTAGTAATAAACTGAAATCAATCAATCAATGAAATCTGTGCATTAAGTGCACGGTAGGGATAAGTAACAACAAGAATAACAACAGCACCTTTCTATGTGCCAAATATGTATTCTGTTTACTGTTATGAATTATTATTATTGTTATTATTATTATTATTATTATTATTATTATTAATGTTATTATCGTGGATCCAAACTCAAAATCGTCAACCATTTTTTCAGGGTTGATGAGATTTCTTAGTTCGATCATTGATAGTGTTTTTTTTTCATCAACTTACACACATTCATACTAGTTGACAATGCTTCACATTTTCCACTTCAATCGATCGGATTCTGCATTAAGTTGATGCAAACATTTTTTAAGTTTTAGTTTCTATGAATAAAATCAAATAATTCTATTTAACTAACTCAACCTAAGTAGATGGATTAGAGGTTGGAACAAATATCCAAATAATTTAGGACAATCAATATAAAAGCTTTACGTGAGAGTGTGATTATGTAACTCTTAGAAGTCACAGAATAAGATGAAACAATCAATCGTTTAGTACGCTTTTTCAACTGAAGTCAAGGAAACAAGCTCGAAATGAAAATTATCAAAAAACTTTTTTCTTTCCGCTTTGATCAGTATATATCGACTGAAGATAGATAAGTATACCACTGGATACCGGCTTAATGGTTTACAGGTTGAATGTTCGCGCGCAAGAATCAAGGTTTTGCGTATAAACATAGTGTGCTGGGGAATCCCATGATAGGACGGAAAAACTGTCCAGCGCGTCAATGTTTTCAGTGACTTGTCTAACTTAGATCGATTAGTGACAATGAATACCATTTGATCATTTCTACGAATCTTCCATTGATCCTGTTTAGCATATCTATGAATGTAAATTGTTTCACGATGTTTCTTGACATTAACTCAATAGTCATAAACTAAGCAAATGTCTAGACATTGAAATAATAATAATAACGATACTCACCGGTTCAATACATAGTCATATAAAAGCAAAAATTTTGTTCATTTATCCTTGCCAATTTAGAGAAGACTTTCTGATTTGGTTTTAATCTCCACTTGTCCAACAGGATTATTTAATACTGAAATATCTGGATCCAATTTAGTGACGGTTAATAATGCCATACTAAGATCCTATGGAAGTAGACAAAAACAGAAAAATAACGGTTACAACATATGATGACCAAACTAGTTTTTTCCTTGAACAGAACCAAATACGAGGAAAAAACTGTTTTGTGGTCAACAAGAACACAACTCGAACATGAACAAATAAGGAACACTACATGGACTTCAAAACTACGTATGGAGCCCATCTGGGACTACTGCCGGTGCCAAGCCTGGATAAAGGAGGAGCACAGAAAGACAAGGCACAAGCTGAATACACAGAAGCAAACAAGCCAGTGAAGAAGAGCATCAAAGCCGACAAACATAAATATGTGGGAGACTTAGCAATGACGGCGGAAAAGGCTGTAAGAGAAGGAAACATGACACAATTGTTCGATACAACAAAGGAGCTTGCTGGAAACTATCGTAAACCAGAACGACCAGTGAGAAGCAACGAAGGTAAAGTTATCATCAACATTGAGGAACAACGAGACAAGTGGGTAAAGGATTTTAGGGATCTCTTGAATCGACCAACCCCACTGAACCCACCCAACATTAAATTTCTGTCCAGTCAATGAAAACTAAATCTTCTAGGTTCCACAGACTTAGTGATTTTGCATGCATGATGGAGCCGACGAAATAGTGAACAGATTCTTTCATTGGTTAGGAATGGGGTTAATCAAAACAATATGTATCTTCATTCTATCACACTTGATCAATAGCAGTCATATAATATAGATAGAAATGAATCATTCAAAGTAATCTATTGCAAGTTAACAATCCAACTGTTTGTTGTGCTTTAACAATTGATGTTATTCATGATTCTTATTTTCCATACTCTTTATCAGTTTACTAGTCATTTTTTTATTTACCTACCTCCCCCCCACCAATTATTTGAATACTTCTTGTTATGTAGTTTCATGATTTTGATGAATGTTATTTCAGTGTCTAGTTTTTCAAGTCGTTTGACCTACTTTTCTATTATTGTGTACTTATTCTAATTTTGATTTTTCTTTATGTAATCTATTCCAGTGTTATTTACTGACTCATAAACTGCCTTGATCAATAATCATGTATATTAGACTAGGGCTTGATGAAGATTTAATTGAATACACCACTGTTCACTTAGATGTGTTGTTCTGATTTTCACAATGAGAATCTTGAAATTTTTAACTTGATTTTTTAGATCCACCTTTATTAAACATCCTAATTTTATTACAGCTTTTGACATTCAATCCAAGTACTATGTGCTGTCGCCTAATCAGTGATGTGAATGAAATGACAAAGAAAGAGAATATAGGAAGCCCTAAGTTGTAAGACGTATCAATTAGTACACAAACATTCTTCCCTTTGACTGAGACAAGGATTTGTAGTCTGAGACTGACCGATTCTCTCTACTAGCGTGGCCTCATTCATAACATCTCGTCTGCCGTTCGACCTTGATTTGGCAAGGGTACATAGGCGCGTAATGTACCTAGGCATTTTCAATCCGTCAACCTCAGAATTCCGTATTGCATACACACAAACACTGTACGACTTGAATGAGAATTCTACATTACACCCCACTGACGTATAGTATAAAAGTACATAAACGTCTACTTATTTACATAAACATTGAGTAAGCGCATCTTCGGGACAGATTATGTAGCGCCTACTGGTGTTACTTAAGTTGAGACAAGTTAATCACATGTAATCAGATAAAAAGTGTAATCCGATAAAATAACTTCTACAAATTGGTTTGAAGTTTAAAATCAGTAAAATAAGTGTGTCTACAAGAAAAATGAAAAAGAATGTAGGAAGATAAAGAAACAAATGGAAATAAACCACCACAGTCAATTATGTCTCTTCATAATCTCTCATTTATAAGACTGGAAGGAGCCTGACCTGGTTGGTACTCACTGAATTGGTGTCACCATCAGGAAACATTGACTTCGGTGAGTTGGATATCTGTTACAAAATGTCATTCCAATGACTTCCACACAGTCTTCTATTTGCTGATGTTGAGATAGTGGGGAGATGGTGAATTTATGACATGACACCGAGGTATGAAATAAATGAAAGAGTGAAAGAGTAGCGTCTGTCAGTTTAGTCCCTAGAGATGGTGTGAACTTAGTGACTTGAGACGCTATCGGACATGGCTCAAAATAGATATAAATGATAGTCCTATTGTGCTCTACTTCCATATTCCTCATAAAATTATGCAGTTCTTCTCTAACTAATTTGTTTCACTTACTATATACACTACATAATTACTACTATACGATTTATTACTATCATATACTTACTATATACCGCATAAACTCACCTGTTCACACTCATTTATTTAATTTGGTCATAAACTTGCTCTCCTTCATTATCTATCGGGGGTCATAGTTGTATTCGCTTATTAGTGTGCAATTTATCTATGCTAGTGCCGATTTGATTTACACCAGTGATTGTGTTTTAAATAAATAACCAATTGAAATAATTCAGCCATGATGTGCTATATCACCAAATATTTCCAATTAGTTAGATTACAAACAAATACGCGCGACCAAACTAACTCAGAAAATGCTACACATAAAGTATCTATACTGTTCAAAGTGACAAACTAGGGACTAGAACATAATACATTACAGCCGATCGTGAGAACACTGACAATGGATAAGCATCGTTGACACTACGCAGCGAAGCACAAACCAGTGTGTCAATAAATAAATGAGCAGACGACACATTGTGTGCATACAAATGTGTATATGCTCCAAAGTAATCAACAACAACAACAACAAAAAAGAAGTTGGAGAGATAAATCGAAACTTACAATGTGTTATGTACACAATCATAAACAAAAGTGAAAATAGCGCAACTACAACAAAAGCAACAACTATTGGTATCAGATTGAAATCCGGTGAAATTCGACTAAGAGATAAGGAAGACAGTTAGTTAGTTAGTTAGTAAGTAAGTAAGTAGCAGAACAAGAACAAGTCATATAAATAATTATTGGTTGGAAATAATAAACAGATTAAAAGAAGGATAAGATGTTGAGAAACGAAATAAGAGTATATATAAACCATTATAATAACTGAGGAATCTGTCAGTAAACCAATAAACGAAGGATTACGGAATATTTGAAATAGATCAATGTACAAGCATGATGTAATGTAGTAAAACAAGCAACCACTCCATAGTTAAAAACATACACATGCACGTAGACGTATATATATATATATATATAACCATCCTTAACATAGAAACATTGATAACTGTGATAACTTGTGAGAATTATACAGAAGCTAAAATTGAATAAATGATACCAGGGGGGGGGGAATTTGTGGAGGCTATTAAATTCCCAATAGTTTAACGTTATAGACTGATTTCCGCAAAACTTTTCACATTAATGCTAAATGCAGTTCCTGCAGTTCTCTAGTGAGAAGCCATGGCTGGAAGTGGAGTTCAACTACTACAGGTAATGAGAGATGACTACACAATACTGCGGGTTTATTGAAGTTAGGCATATACACACTAATGGATTCCGGGTTCAGTGGTCTAGAAATTGAGCGCTCGCTGAGCGACCTGATGGCCGAGAGTGCGAACGCCGAAGAGATGGTAGACGCATAGAGCTAGGATGAGGCTACTGTTCAGCGTTTCCTAGGCACCACCACCAACGTTTAACAATCGTGAAAATCTGATGAAGCTGTGCATATTCGCACACTATTGGGAAACCATGTAACTTAACTATTATTTTTCTCGAAAATTAAAACGAAGAATTTGTTAATCAACTGGTAAAGATTAAATCTTTAACTATGAAGTATAGAAGAATAGGCAAACAAACAAACAAACAGATTTCTCATCGAATGATGATTATACGAATTAACAGAAATGGCATTTACACACTGTGATAAACACACACACTGTTATCATCATTATTACTATTATGTTTATTCTGAAAAGAAGAACAATCAGCTGGGATTCATTAGTTTACAATAAGAAAAATTAACAACTCACCTCATCAAAATCATTATTAGATATAGAATGTCCATTAGTCTGTTGAAGAAACGAAACAAAACAAAAAAAACGACAAAACAAACACACTTAATCATATATTTAAAAATATTTAAAAATAGAAATAACACAGTTGCTAAACTATGATGCATTAATTTACACAATTATTACGAACGGCTTTCAATTATCCTGTTTTTTGAAATTCAGTATTATTATTCGATCAGTATTAGTTGGTATCTGTATGTAATCTGTGCAACTTGTCTACAAGATTCAATATATTTACACTAATTATAGGATATAGGTATATATCCACTAGGCTGATGATGAATCACACCTAAAGCACAATATGTGTTCTTGTTTCCACAGTTCGTTTATTATATTCGTTTTTTAGAAATTCCACCAATGGTAATTCCTTGATATTCTATTCTTTACAGAATTTACATATGCCTACGATAATACAGAGTAAAATTTTGTCTTCCATGTCAACAATTCAAAATCTAGACAACAATGACAAAGGTATCATACATGTTGAACAAGTTAGCGGCTATTCGTCGGACTGAGAATTTCAGTGGATGATACAGTTAATGTTTGATTTCCATTGTGAACATCACAACACTGAGAAGTAGGAAAATTCACTTGACAAGTGTTAAAACCTGGACAAAATATAAGTAGTGAAGTCGACTGCTTGCCTTAGTGTTGTTATATTTTCAGCTAGTGATTAACAATGGATGTCAAGGTGAGTATTCCATTCTATTTGAGACACGTATTTGATTGTACTGCCAATTAATTATATTCAAAATATAAACAAAATATTTTGAAACAACCATCCAAAAACGGAGTTACGATGTACCAACACAGAGAAACCAATCAGTTCATTTGGGAATATTAATACTTCAGTTAACAATGACGCAAAACATTCCTTTATTTAATGAAGAGCATTAAAACCTTAGAAATTACTTTAATTTTATAAACCAAAGCCATGGAATAGATGAATGCATTTAGATTCGAAAATGTTTGGAATTATTTTGAATTTTTTTTTTATTTTTCAGATTTTTACTTAGAATTACCCCACCTTATAACTACAAGATTGTGGGAAAAATGACACGTGATATCATTTGACTAATTGTTAATTTATTTGTTTTATCCACTCCAATCACATGATCAGTAGAATGTTATGAAATCTTATAATACCACTATGTACTTTTTTATTGAAATTATGAATCGATCATAATTAGACGACCATAGGGAAACCAGAAATGAGACTCATCAGCAGAGCGCATTCAAAACCTCGAGAATATAAATTGAACCCACAACCATTAGTATCTCACGCAAAAGGCTAAATTATTTTGACCAACGAGCCGGCATTCAATGGTGTTAATGCTTAACTTCAATCAATCCACGATAGTGCTCAACCTAATCCACTGACAAACGTCTCACACAACACGGTTGAATTCCACAGATTCTGACTAGAACTCCGATAAGTCCCTCCGGAAACTAGTCACTAGTGAGTACAAGATAACTGTCATTAGTGGGTTGTGGAGATTGTTCAGCTTCATTGAAATCTATTTGTCTACTTATTATTGAAAAAATGCATGATTATTAGTAAAATTAACAGTGGAATTCAAGAAGCACGTTTCGTCCAACTTGGGAACAATAACGGGGCGGAGTACATGCATACAGCATACAACTCTCTTTGAACCTAGCACACAACAATAGCGTCATGCACTGTCCCATCGCTCTTGGCAGATCAGGTAACTCGAAAGTCACGAGAACACCATCAGAACATATGACAGACTAGGTTCGTCCAACATAGAACTCGTCAGTCAGATATATATGGATCCTAATGCTAGTGTTCACATTGACACTGGAAAGCCATGCCTTTGGCGTCAGATCCCGCGAACATTATTCACTGAGCTTCTAAATTCACACAGACTAAGCATTTTAATCAATGGAAAAATGGAAATCCTCAAAAATAAAAGTGAATAATATGCATTCTTTTCGCTAATAAATGTAAATGCGTATATCAAGCATTCATTACATCCGTTCGTTCCTAAGACATTCTGTGATGACTTGAGGACTAACTCTATCTACCCAGAATGACATTTAAATCGATCTTTATGAATAAATGGTATTCACACCTGTTCTTATTGATTGCTGCAGTATGTACAATACATAATAATTACCGATTTTAAAAACTTACAAATTTATTCAATAGGTGTAGAAATATTTATTGTTATTTATTTGTAAGAGATTTATGTTACCCTAGCTACAGGCAATATTGAAACATTCGTTAATAGAAACTCTGATACACAAAAAAATATACATCGAAATTACTGACAAAATGAGAATCAGTTACCGAGGGGCGGTTGCGCAACAAGCAAATCATTAAAAGATTATCTCCGTACTAATTATACGTTATGCACAAGGAATAGTGCCTAGATTTAGTTATTATTATTATTATACTAATAAACGTTAAAACAGTCGAGTGGATCACAATTCAATTAAGGTCAACCAATTTATAATTACACACTGTTTAATAATAACGCTGCACAATCTTGGCAAATCAGCAGAAAACATCTCTCACTTTGTCAATGTATGGGTGTGTGTATATGTGTGTCTAGGCATATATGGACGATGGTCCTGCAAAGTTTAACCATGGTTTTTATGTTATATAGAATAATAAAGTTTCAGTAAACAATACATCATCAATAACCAAAATTAGTGAAATATACAATTCCCATCGGATCTGAATACTGAATTTGTATGTTTTTATTCTACACTCTGAGTAATAATAATAATAATAATAATAATAATAATAATAATAATAATGTCTATACACTAGCTAGATTACTACTATTTTGATTGGTTTCGTGAACAGTAACAAAATTGTCAAAATTAAACTAGTCAGTTGAATAAGTAGTGACAGAAATTAGGCCACGAATGGATATCAAGGATAACGATTATTCACAAAAATTAAATTTACATTAGTCTAAACGATTGCAATTGGTTCGAACAATTAATCAATCAACCGAACAATCAATCATAATATTAGTAATAACAATATAAATTTTACAGTTAATATATCACAAACGGACCCAAACCACGTTTAAAGCCCAAGTTTCTAAATTTCCTAATCACAGGTTTTCACTATGTCATTTTGTATCTTCAATGTCTAACCACATTATTTCTATTCTCATCGATTTTGTTAATAGTTAGGGAAATTTCAGCTGACCATCATCATCACGCGCTACGCTCACATACATTAAGTTTAACTTGAACCGATCAGGCTTGTTTGTTGTGTTTTTTATTTATTGAGAGCCAATGAAAAAAAAATGCTGTGATTTGAATATTTTTTTCAACAACTAAAATTTATGGCTTATCTATAGTTTTCAAAACATGAATAAACTGATTTTTTTTTTAAAGATAAGAAATGTTCAAGTTCATAACATTATCATTCAAATGGCTCAATACTCAATAACATTAATAATAATTGTCATTGATATTATTATTATTACTAATAATTTTATTACAACGACTAAAATAAGTAGTATATAAATAGATTGTGATCAAATTAGACAGTATTCTATGTATTAGAAAAAAAAAAGAATACACCTTTATGTTAATGCGAAATCTGTCATTTTCAAATTAGAAAAGTTAGTACAGCCACGATAAGAAACATATTGTTTAGAGAGAGATAATTGAGAAATATTATTATAGGTGAGTAAAGATTGTTGAAATCAAGCTGATGAGCCGCATAGTAGGTAGGATTTCTAATGATGGTTTCACAAGAATCGGTGGATGATTTGAATAAATTGATGAATGTTCAAATTGAAAGATAAAAAAGCAGTGGAGAAAGTTGTAGACCAAAGTGGACGGACTGAAAATAGGTGAATTTATCTCTGTCAAGGTACATAAATTTATTATTGAATAATCATCATCAGACCACCATTAAAAACCAAGAAGCACTGGGGGGGACCGTTTCGTTCTGATATGTGGACTCATCATCAATCGAACTGAATCCGATAACTTCAACTCTGTTGTTATCGTTTAATCATAGTCTTTTGTTAGATTCTAAAGGGGATCAACAAAAACCACAAGATTTCCTACAGGATAAGAAAGTATGAATGTTGTTAATTCATAGATTAGGCGAACTTCCTTCTTCAACTCTATTCACTAGTAGTCATCCATGAGGAAAAAAAATCAATTTAAACAGGTCAAAGTTAATGACACTGTAATTAACAATTTAAAATTGAGCTATGTTAATTGATATGATGAATTAAGTGATCAATAAGTAATAAAAACAATTGTCTATCGGTAAGGAACTATTGAATAAGCTCTTCTCACAACTATTGCGCATTTCCACACATATGTAAACGGATGTCAACAAGATTACTTACTATGTGAGAATATAAATATATTTAATCGAATGAACAAACTTACATGAATATTTTGACCAATTGTTGTAATGAACCGTTCACTGACCGTTTTTGTAGTCGTTACTTCAGAACGTTTCACAGTACGTTTAATCATTTTACCATTTTCATCATAATAAGTTTCTGTATCAATTTGCGGTTCACTTCTTTCAACTGACTATAAGGTGGACAATAACACACAAACAATTAGTAGTATTATGAAACACATACAAGTATGATTAGTGTACATACTAGCAATTGATTCATTAATGAATGTTTCAATAGGGTAACATAAATCGCCTAAAAATAATAGTGAATATTACACTTATTGAACAAGTTACTGATTCGTGAGTATCAGAGTAATGAGTATTACTTATTAACTGAGTAAAAATCTAATGTTCCAAGTGATGATGAGTGTAACAGGTTCTAGTATCAGTGTCAAGATTCAAGTGTGAATTGATGCAAATGACAAGTTCCACATAAAATGAAACATGTATCATGAAATGCTATGGGTGGCTACAACTACTACTAGCCAAACCTACAATGTTACGAGAACTGAAATCGATTGATTGTCGATATGAACTGGAATTTCAAGCAGGCTGAATGGAACAACTCGTATCCTTTCTATATAGTGTAATAACTGGTTTACTTATTCGATACACAACAACGACTCGACTTCAATCAAAAGGATCTGATCTCCGAAGTTATTTGTTAAATTGTGTTCAGTATACTGGTAGAATTTAGAATTACTGATACTTAGTTGAAATCACCCCAATTTTAAACTTATCTAATTTAGTGACATTCAATTACATTTAATAATCAACTGAAAGCTTAAAGAAGGTAACCTAAAGAAAAAGGAGAATTGTATAGTAAAAAGAAAAAACAAGTCCTTGTTCGACCAGTGTCATTTCCCATAAAGATTCAATGAAACGATAGTAAGGATTCATGAACTGGGGCATCGGATGAACATTATTATAAATCTATCCCTATACGAATTTGTGGATGTGCACAACTGTATACTACTGGTATCTTGGTTTATTTTTTTTTAAAATGGTTCTTTAACATAAAATCATTCTTAACATGGTTGATTAACTAGGAAACTGCCAAAAAAAGAGCGAATCGATGCGCTGACAAAATGAATTACAATAACTAATTGTATTCATAAATTAGACTGTTTACATGAATTTATTTAATAGTAGGAAAAAAAAAATACAAAAAACCTAGAAAGAACAACAACACACATTCATGTTACCTAGAAGTACAAGGGGCGGGGGGCACACACACACACCTAGGTACGACAACAGCACATGGAAACAAATTTTTCAAAAAAAAAAACTACAATTGTAAAAATAAATAAACTCATGTAAAACTAGTCTACTACTACTCCTGGTGGTGGGTGGTGATGTTTGAAATGCAATCTCATTCATTCATCCATCATTCCAATTAGTCATAGTAATAGTACACTGTTTCAATTATTGTAACTACGCGCCAATACACACACGCACACGCACACACACAGTGAGATTGGTATGCAGTTTGACATTTGTCATGTTTTTTTATTGCATCACACAAAACAAAACAAAACAACTTATCTATTTATCAGTGAGAATATGAATGGTAAAAACTAACAACATAACATCAAAACACATTGACAATAACAATGACATAATAATGATAATAACAATAATAATAATAATAATAATAATAATAATAATAGTAGGATTCGTTGGAAAAACTAAACAAATCAAATTTGATGACTATTCGTTATCAATGCAATTGTTTAAGAGAGATTATTGAGATTAGTAATCAATCAATCACATTACAAAGCATGTAATAAGTTCTATTAATCATTATTATCATTTTGGTTAAAATTTAAAAAAACAAACACAATTTTATCAGTAGTCATTGATATTTAATTAAAAAAATCCGGTTACATTGTGTGAATTATTTCCAAGTTGTCACATAATGAGCTGATGATAATGATGATGAAGGGATTGCATTAATCGGGAAATCAGTGAAATTGAGAATATGATTATCAAAGGAATGCAACGACATTACACCAACAACATCAATAACTAATGATTGCACTTAACACAAAAAGTAATCTGCATCTACCAAAAAAACGGCCTAAAACTAGCAGTCAATAACTTCATCGACGCATAATACGTTTCTAGTTTAGTTGTAATAATGATCAGTTTTAACGTAAATATATGTACATTATTTCACTCAGAACCTTTCAATGAATGATAATTTTTTGTCATTCGCGAAAATCAGGGAGCATCGAAGTTCATATTTACAAAGAAATCAAACCTGGAATTCCCACTGTTACACATCTAAAATGAAGATATGTTTAGATGCAGTCAAGTTTGACATCCAATGAGACAATCGGCTAATGCTACCTCAAATTACATTCGATGTCAGTCAGCCAGTTAGAACGCAGAACTTCGCACTTACGTACACCACTCCAAATTGACATACCGCATTAGCAATAATCGAAAATATTAGGAATTGAATAAATCATTACAGAAGTACATTCCAGTGAAATAAATTTAAAAATAGAATCTAGAAAACTAGATTACGAGAGAAGAAAAAGAATGGATGCATCAGTTAAACTTGAGATCACAATCACCACCAGGAAAATCCTTGGCTGTGATTGGTTGATGTGTTTATTTAGTATGGTATTTTTGTGGCCTACCCAAGGACATGTCTATGATGCATAAATAAACGCGATTTGTGTGCTTGAGACCATTATATTTCCTGGGTGACTGTAGAATACACCTTCTACGCCATATCAAGAATTTTTCTTCAGTTAGTTGAGGTAACGGACCACAGTAGCCTACAGTGTCACTGGGTCATTGTTTAGTCCTCGTTTATCGACTAAGATGAACTCGTGATAGTTTCAAGCATATCAAGTGCCGAGCATAACATTTATATTACAGGCACTTTGTTCTAACGAGTTATAACCTCCATAAAGTTTAGATCTATGGGTTTGTGTGGTCGATTACGTACAAGAGAACACCTTTATATATTCCATAAACAAAATCAAAATATTGAATTAAATCTACTTTATGCCATTGTATATACACGAATGTACCAGAGAGTGTAGATTATAGGTGAAAAGCTGAATAATCTCATCAAAAGTCAATTATACTGGCCATCCCACCCACCAAACAGAACGGTAAACAGATTTAGTGTAACCACAATAGACAAAAATTAAAAAAAAAGTAGACAAAGAATAAATAAAAACCACATTAATACTTAAAGGAAGTAAGTGATGATTGACAAGTATACCATACATAGTACGACATACAACATTTTTAAATTTCATTCTATCCTGTATTTATTTAATTATTCATTCATTTCCAATTAGCCCAATTTCATTACTATCCACAACACCGTCATCGTTTCCATTGAATGAATAAAAAAAGGATAGTTTATGAGACGAGTTGTTGTATGAATTCATGGATATATATATATATATATATATATATATATATATATATATATATATATAGTCCCCCGAATGAAGTGTATTTTAATTATGATCAATAAACCCAGTTGGATGACCGAGTGAATTCGGTGATTTATTGATTATTAATGTGAAAGAGTTCGAAACTTCAACATCATATCCACTGTCAAGCTTGATAACCAGTGATAGCATAGCTGAAAACATTCTGGTCCCGTGTAGTTTAAATTTTTAGGGAACGTGTGTGTCCACCTCTAACGAATATATATTGGTGAGTGTCTATGATTCTGTTTACTGCATTTTCGCAAAACACAATACCAACAAGCAACTAACTATTATTGCTTTTGACAACAATGACTCACGGTCGAACGGCTACCTATTATGTAGTACAAATGTAAATAAGTGAATATGTATTTGTATCAGTGTGTGTGTGTGTGTGTGGGTGGGTGTATATGACCAGATCGATTACAAACGAAAAAAAGACAATATACGAGAGTAGATAGGCATTATATATCCGGAAGAAAGCACGACAAAACGTGAAAGACCATGTTCACACACAAACACAGAGGTAAGTTAATAGCAGCAACAGCAGGAGTAGTAGTAGTAGTAGTAGTAGTAGTAATTGGAATAATTGAAATGAATGTCAATAAAATGGAGGAGAGGTAACAGAGAAACAAAAGTCAACACGGAATAAATAAAATAAAATAATCAATAGGTTTAAATAGTCGGAAAGCATTTTCGGAGACGATAAATAAAATAACCTAAAAACAACAATGAACTTTAATCCAACTTGTACGAGTTTGGGATTATCCTATTGTTGAGTCGGTCAACTGGATGCTCGTTTTGTGATAAGTTCTACATAGCAGATGGATTGTAGCTAATAGTGAAATCCAAAATACGCATTTCAATCTAAATTTATAAACTGAAATAAATGTATACGTGCCGTTCAAGCTAGTAGTTTTCTGAACTCAGTAGTAGTGCAATGGATAACTCTATCAGTATTTGTAATCCAAGTCATTGAGTTCCAATTCCAATGTGAATATCAACATTGAGATGTACACAAATCCAATTGACAAGTTCCGAATAAGATGTAATAGAAAGAATTTAGTACAATGAGTGTTTAGTGGAACAGCTGTTTCCCAAATAGTACAGAACCCCTTGGTAGTGTATAGCCACAGTCTCACCAGGCGATAAAGCTTAGGTGTCCTAAGTTTAACGAATATTAGAACCAGTGAACCGATGTTCAATGATACATAATTCTAGTTTCAATGATGCAACAATTAAGATAAAAAAACAGACAATAAAAATTCAAACCTGTTCTACTGAACAGTCAAACCATTCAAAAAAAAATTGATAGTTCTTAGTTCAAGTTTTTGATGCATATTCTTGTTGAATATCATGTTATTTATTAAAATGAATTCAGAAGTAGTGAATTTGTTTGTTTACTTCCTTTTGAAAACTGTTCAAGTACATAACTTATTAGCTAATTAAAGTTAGATAGTCAGTTAAAACTTAGAACTTCGTACGTGAGTACATCAAGTCGTACATCAGGTTGCCAGACTACATTAGTTAATTAAAAACAGGATAGAATAAGTTTCCATGAATTTGTGGAGTATTTCACACCTTCCATGCTTAGTGTGTACGCAATATCTATGATTTTTTTTCCAGTCTATTTAGCAAGTGCATGTTGAATATTACAGCATAGTTTTCAA